TTCTTGTCGTTACATTATCAGCTTGAGATCCTAGGGGTATATGGAGATATGCCTATTCATTGCTGAGAGAATTCACACACAATTTCTGTCCTTCACATAACTTTGTCCTTAAAAGCTATTTTTGGAATTCATTTCAATTATGTTTTCCCAACAACCATATTAGGAGATGACTGTTGTTTCTTCATATTAGAAGAAAAAAAAATGAGACAAAGATCTCAAAACAATTAATTGAGGTTCTCACAATAAGAAACATAATGATAACGATAACACCAGATTTAAAGTCTCCAGCCTCTGAACCCTCTTTTTGTCTAGAAAACTGTGCTGCTCTGGCACATGTGTACATGGACCTAATGACCAGAGGAAATCCAGCTGACAGGGCTCTGTCACTCCATTCACAATACAGTGATGTGCTTTGCATTGCTTTATACTTTTCAAAGCCCTTTTCACATATTTTATTTAATTTGATCCTCAAACCACATTGTCACATAGGTAGAATAGAAATTTCCTTTTGATAAAGATGTTATGGTCTGAATGTTTGGTGTCCCCCAAAAATCCATATGCTGAAATCCTAACCCCTAAGCTGATGGTATCAGGGAGCTGGCCTTGGGAGGTGATTAGGTCATGAGGGTGGAGGTCTTGTGAACAAGATTAGTGCCCTTATAAAAGAGGTTCCTGAAAGATCCTCCCTTCCCTTCCACCACGCATGGACACAGTCATAAGCTGAGAAATCTATAACCCAGAAGACAGCCTTCACCCAACCATGCTGGTTCCCAGATCTCAGACTTCCAGCCTCCAGAACTTAAAGTGAATTTCTGTTGCTTACAAGCTACCCAGTCTGTGGTATTTTGTTACAGCAGCCTGAACAAAGACAAGTAACACCATACCATTCAATAACACTTTAAACCATATAAGGCTCCTTTATGTGCATAACCTTATTTAAGTCCCACTAAAGGAAAAAGTGTGAGGTAATATTACCCACATTTTCAATGACAACTGAGGCTCAGAGGTGGACTGATCCAAAGTCACTCAGGTAGATTTAAGAAGACACCTGAACAGTCTTCCGACTCAGAGCGCAGTAATTTCCCCCCATTCTGCCATAGCTGCATACCCAAATGAGGAGAAATCATACGTTTCTAACTGTGACTCCAAAAATGAGTCCGTGAGTGACTTCCTCCCAGAAGGGGATCTAACGGGGTCATTCTGCTTAGCCACTTAGCCACACGGCTATTCCCGTGGGAGAAGCAGAAATAGAACATGGTCACAAGTCATGCTAGCAGGAGCAACACCTGATCAGGGGTCAGGCTAGGAATCGGGCAGTTATCTCTATGGATATCTGTGGTCCACTTAGGAACCATTCCAAGGACTCCAGGAAAGCCAGATAGGATGTACATTAATTCACTAATTAAAAGCTCAGAAAGAATCATGAGGTATTTGAGGTAGGAGCCGATTAGGCTTAGGGAGGCTCCTATTACATAAAAGGTTGTATTGAGCCAGCTCCCTCCGCTTTACCTCCTGCCCTAGTATCTCTTAAAGATATGGGGGTTCCCCCTGCATGACCCAGGAGAACTGGGTTTCATAAACAACAGGACTCCAGAGTCACGCTTAACCCTCGAGCATGCTGCTGCGTTCCATGATATTGCAGAGCCTGACCACGGGTTTATAATAGAAAAAAAAGAACCAAGAAACTGAAGAGGGAAGGGCTGCAGAGGTGAGTCGGTGCCCAGAGAATGGAGTTCCTCCTGGATCCTGGCTATGCTGAGGATGGGGCCCGGTGGAAAATTCTGGCCACCCCTGTAACAGCCCCATAGCTCAGTTGGACAAAGCTCACTAATCTGGCAGCTGTCACTTTACTTATAGTCACATAAGCAAAATGATTGGTCCTATTGACAGCAGCCTGGACTCCAAGAGTCACACAGGTGTCACGGTCCTGGGCAGGGAGAGCTTCTCCCATCCTCCCTATGGCTTCTGCAATGCAAGTTTCAAGGCCTTTTCCTCCAGGGCTGAGGGGATTTGTGTTCGCCTCTGTTTTTATAGGGTTGTGTTTGGGGGAAACTTTCATGTGTGGAAAGCAGCATTCTAATAAATAGTGGCGTGCAGAGCTGTGCAGAGTCCTGAAGCTGAAGGTCACGAGGAAGAAACCCAAACCAGTAAACTCGGGGATGTTTTGTCCTGAACTTGTAAATCCAAACAATCTCCATGAAATGGAAAGTTTGTGGGGAAAAACAAATGCCTTGGTTATTACAGCGTTACTACATTCATAAAATATATTTCATGGAGGGGGGGTGGGAGTTTACACAGGGGGTAATGAGATTTTTGCCTTATACATTATTTATAACCGCTTAATCCAGGTACTGTGGGTTATTTTTTTATTCCTTCTTTTTCACAGCTACAAAACACTTCAGTATTTCTAATTTATTTCTGCTTACAATACAGATGTTCTCAATTGTGTTTCTAACTACATTTCAACCATTATGATCGCGTTTATTTGTTTGTGTCAGCACACAAGCAGGGGTTGAATGTGCAATACACAATAGTGAGGCTTCGAGAAGCCTGTAAGAGGCCTCTTGTGCTTTAGTTATCAACAAATTAAAGCAGCTTGGCGGCACTAGCTTTATCATCAGTGGTTTTCATCTCCGGATAATTCGCCTGCAGTTGGGTAAGCAGCGCGACAGCCCTCTCTTGGTGCAGAAAGGTTGCACGCCTTAAAACAGCACTTTTCGAGATGACCATTTGGAAGGAACATTTGGAGAACATTTGGGTTATGTCCTCTAACTGAATTTCCAAGCTGTTGGTAACAGGCTAAAGAAAACGCAGTCTGTACTGAATCCTAAGAAAGCAAGAGTGTAAGAGCCTTGAAGGTCATGTGTAAATATTGACATTTTAATTTTATTTAGCATACCAAAGTGGAGCCCTCCAGTTGCTTATCTTGCCATAAAAACCCACCCATCTGCACTGCCCCGCAGATTGTCGGGGAAGATCTGATCTGAGCAGCCGTGGGCACTCCTCCCTGCCTTTGTTAACAAGGCTGAGTTTTGTTTGTGCAAAATCTGAGTCAGAGGGGTGTTCCTCCCCTCTCATCTCCACCGCGGACCGATGCACCTGATTAGATAACAGAAATCTGTGGGCTGAATGTTCATGTAGGGACAGGAAAGCCAAGAGGCAAACACACTCAGGGAAAACAGCCGCTTGCTCGCTCACAGAGTCAAGTCAGGTGTCCAAAACCAAAGTTACTCGAGGAACCAATAACTGGCTAATTTGGCCGGAACACCCTCTTGTGTGTCCTCAGAAGCAGCATGAGGAATAAATGCCAACGTGTCCTCAGGCTTTGTATCCTTCTCACAATCCAGGACTCCACCTGCAGAGCTTAATTTAAACAGGGCCGAATTCTGAAGGTGAGGTACAAGTGATAGCTTGGTCTTCCCACCAACAACAGTGGTTAGGGCTCCCCACACACTTAGCAATTTCGCCAAGATGCTTGAGTGTTAGCCGACAATGGCATTGCTTTCCTACACCAGAGCCAAGAGCCCTGCTTATGTAGAACAGCCTGGCAGTTTGATAAGATGCCTGAGGCTCCCATCTCCCTACAGCGAGGTCACTAGAATCATTTTCCTCCTGAGACATAGTGAATGGAAATGCAGGTCCGGCAGATACAAGGAGCCAGTGAGTGAAACATGGAGGAACCAGGGCCACCTCAAGTGGCCTTTGGCCTAAAAGTTTTCTTCTAAGTGGAAAGAAGAAAATTGAATGCGGGAACAAAATGATCTTTGAATGCTTCATAACTCAGGCTCTGACTTACTCAAAAAGGGGGACATGATATTAAAGACCAACACTATTTTCTGCCCTCTGCATTTGAGCTTTGAAGGGTGCTCCTCAAACATTCCTGATCTAGGGCTTCCCTGGTGGCGCAGTGGTTGAGAGTCCTCCTGCCGATGCAGGGGACACGGGTTCGTGCCCCGGTCCGGGAGGATCCCACATGCCGCGGAGCGGCTGGGCCCATGAGCCATGGCCACTGAGCTGCGCATCCGGAGCCTGTGCTCCGCAACGAGAATGGCCACAACAGTGAGAGGCCCGCGTACCTCAAAAAAAAAAAAAAAAAAAAAAAATTCCTGATCTAGCCTCTGTGCCCAAATCAATGTCATGATTTACAATTCACACTATAGTTGAAATATTAACCGTCCTTCCTTACTCTAGCCTTGTTAAGTCCTGGCCTGCACAGCTACTGAAATAGTGCAATATATTAAAGCACTCTCAAAGATATGTTGTTTGTTTTGTTTTGTTTTTAAGCAGTACTGAGTGGGCGGAGTCAGTCCCATTCAAAATTCCCAAGCGGGCAAAATGTGTGTCAGTTGGCCCCTTCCTCCTTTGTCTGTGCTTTCCCCTCACCTACTTAGCAAACCTTCCTTTCATTCCCAGTGATGAACTTCCAAGTTCCTTCTAGCTCAGCTAGTTCCTTTCAGTCACTGGAAGACAAAGCTAATAACTACCTTAATGTATTTGCCTGCAGAAAGTAATCTTTTGTTCTGCAAAAACCAAGAGAATTTTCATTTTAAGGGAAACAAAGAAAGCTGAAGGAATGACTCTTTGGAGGTAGAATGTCAGAGACATGACGCTTGGATAAAATATAACTTGGGGCAGAGGAGTATACCCTCAGCATCCCTAAAGTGGATGAAACAGTCAAGTCAGTACCCATCAGGCAGACCTGCTAAATTTCAAGACGGAGACTACCCACCACATTCCCACTGTGATGTTTTAAGCATGGTGTATAGTAAGCTCTACCTACCTACTCAGAACTTAATACTAATTAGTTCTAATTAATCTTATACCTGATTCCTAAATAACTGAACTAAATTAACAGAGTCTAGTTATTCCGGTTATTCTCAAGGCCCTATGGAACAGTGGTTTTAAAAATTCCAGAAATGAATAAAGAAGGCATTGGAGTTGCTCTGAAACATCTAAGTCAGAGTAGTACAATTCATTGTTTTTATACAGAATTTGATTACCTGGTTAGCCCTGATTTGTTTCAGTCTAAAACCTATGATGCTTTCTTTTCAGTTTGTTCTCCTCCACATACTTGAACCTGTAGAGGTGGGAGGGGAGACAAAGAAGACTTGTTTTATTTGAGCTTGTGAAAATAATGGCTGTTATCAAGTTCAATGTCATAAGTTTTCCTCCACAAGAAGGAACAGTATACTTCCTGGTGAGCGATAGTTCTTTAGTACATAGAAATGGTTCCTAATTCTCAGCAGATAGAGCACTTGAGGAAACAGGGGCATTCTCCTAAATCACAAAGAATAACGTGATGGTCAGTATGATTGACTGGTGTAAGCTTTCATAGCTTCTTTCACGCTGAGATCCTGAAATATGGGAAAAGAACAGTGCCGGCTGGCCAGGGGAAGCCATTGCTGGGAAAAGGAGCATAAACATCCCCAAATATCCTGGTTTTCCCAGGATAACCATCATTTTCAACATTATTCTGAAAAGTAATAAGGTAATAAGAATAGGAAATTTAGGCTATGTTTACTGGATTCATAAAACATTCCCCTCAAAAGGGGGACATTTTTAATTTTTCATGAAGTTTGAAATCTACAATGGTCTGGCATCATTTCCAGGCATATAGAAGGAATTCATTTTTATTTTCATCTGAATTAGTGTATCCCAAACAGTGTGCACATCAGAAGCACCTGGGAATTATGTGGGGTTTGGGGTTTTTGTTTATTTATTTGCTTGTTTGTTTGGCTTCATAATGTATTTTACTACCCCACCATAAATCTACACTGAAATTGAATTTTGTAATCTGTGTCAAAGAAATATATTCTTAGAATGATTCCCCAAGGAACTTCTGAGACTGACCCCCTAATTCAACAACACTAATATTAACACTTTAACCTTACCTTTGAATGCTGTGATGACCAATTTTCAGATTTAAAACCCACACCTTCTAAATTTGGTGCATGGGGACAAGGAAAGGAGAGAGTGTTTAAGCACTAAAGACAATGTTGACAAAAGTGAACACAAGGTTAAGGAATTTAGAACCCAGTATAAAAGGAGCAAAGAACTCTTTCTTCCCATGTCTTCTTTCACTGTGCTCTCTCGATTTTTCTCACAGTATGGCTCCCAGGCCCTCTCCCAATACCTACTCTGTAAGGCTTTTACCCCATGGCCCTTTTACCCTCTCCCCCTGCACATTTGCTTAGTTGATCTTCCCCATCTCCTTGACTCCAACCCCATATATATTTGATTCATGTATTAGTCTGCTCAGGCTGCCATAGCAAGGTACCACAAACTGGGTGGCTTAAACCACAGACATTTATATTCTCACAGTTCTGGAGGCTAGAAGTCTGAGATAAGATGTTGTCAGGGTTGGTTTCCTCTGGGGCCTGTCTCCTTGGCTTGTAGATGGCCATCTTCTCCCTGGGTCTTCACATGGTCTTCTTTCTGTGTGTCTCTGTGTCCTAATTTCTTCTTATTATTAAGACACCATCCATATTGGAATAGGGCTTACCCCAATAACCTCATTTTAATTTATTGCCTCTTTCAAGACATTATCTACAAACACAATCACATTCTGAAGTTAGGGGTCAGGACTTAAAGATGTGAACTTTGGGGTAGAATTCAGCCCATAACAGCTCTGAATCATCTAACTCTAGACCTACATGATGACTGGCTCGCGTGTTTGAAAATCTCTCACATGAAAACAAGGGACAAGACCTCTGTATTCCTTAAGAGATCAAAACAAGGACCAATGTGTGGAAGATAAAGGTTGAAAGTCTCAGCCCACATAAAGAATTATGTGACAATGAAAGGAATCTAGTTATTAGGGGCTGCAGCCCCTGACAGCGTGTCCCCATCACCAGAAGGGCATGGCAGAGACTGGATGGACCCCTGTTGCTCAGGAAAATCTAGCAGGAGCCTATAAGGTCCCTTTTCCTTCTTTAATAAGATGACTTTAATGAGGAAAATGAGCTCACATGGATTAAATCAAGATGATCAAAATAAAGCAGTAGAAAATCCAAAAAGCCTATGCCTAGATGTGTCTGTAAACATAACATAATCAGATATGAGGAGAAAGGTTCTTTGGAACTCTTAGATTCATCCTTTCCCTGGGGTAATATCACACAAATAAGGTAAGAGTGTGAACCATTTCAAAAGTAGTGAGGCCTCAGGTAACACGGGGAAGGCTAGAGCAACTCAGAAATGTCTTTCCCAAGAGAAAATGATCATTCAGCACGTGGATGTCCATGGCAACTTAAATGGAGATTTTCCCACAGAAATCACAAAGATCAGAGCCCAGGTGATCTGACACAACAACTCTGCTCTAAGCATCAACTTACAAGGTATGTGCACGAAAGCCATTCAGGAGGCCGTTGGGTGGCATGAGTCAGCATCAGCAGGCCAGTTGTTGGAAGACCCTGACTCCAGGACCCATCCTTCCATATGTAAGTCCACTGACCTATGGTAAGGCCTTGTCTTCTTTGAACCTCAATGTCTTAATCTGTAAAATAAGAATAATATTACCGATCCTCACAGCAAGTTGTGAGAATTGATGTAATCATATAATTTATGAATTTAACTATGCAATTTAATTCAACTTAACTGTAGAACATTATTCAAATATATGGTATTAATATCATTGCTTTTCTTCTTGCCCAAGGTCACTGCCTATACTGTGTGCTATAAATGCAAGTCATCTTCCTCTTAGATGGAACATGAGAGGTTTCTAGGGACACTCTTTGACAGCACAACTCATTTGGAAAGATGCAGACTTCCTAGACACAGTGGAGAAAATAATCCAGGAGAGGCATTCCTATCCCAAGAGACTACAAGGACATAATCAAAACCAAAAGCTGAAGAATGTACAAAAATGAAGAAATTCCATACATCAGAGAGGCAAGTGATCTTGAGATTCTTTTCATAGATGATACATCCAAACTTTACTCCCCATTAAGCTCTATCTAAGATGCTTATTAAAAATGCAGGGACTTCCCTGACAGTCCAGTAGTTAAGACTCCACAATTCCACTGCAGGAGGTGCGGGTTCAATCTCTGGTCGGGGAACTGAGATCCCACATGCCGCATGGCGTGGCTAGATAAACAAACAAGCAAACAAACAAATATGCAGACTCTCCCTTCCTGGAAATCCTCCCCTCTACCATCACCCCTGATATTCTAGTTCAGTAGGACAACACTTTGATAAACACTTTCCCGGAGAGTGAATTCAGACTCTCCAAAAAAAACATCTCATGCTTCTTACACTATGGAGGCTTTGCAGTATTTACCAAACCTGGGTTCCATGCGCAGTATCTAGGGGTGACCTGGGGTTTCCTTAGCATCTCTCTCCAGTATCTCCAGCTGCCTCCCTCCAAAATATGTCAAAATAAGCATTCAAGCTAAGTAAAGATTTTATGCTTGCTGAACAAAGCAGCCTCGAGTCAAGGCCCCTAATCCTTCTCTCCTTCCAGATTACCACCTTAAACCCCTGTATCTAGAAATTTTGGATTTGCCAACTGCCCAGAAAGATGAGAGCTACTTGTGTGACAGTGTCAAGTCCCTGCTGAGCTGTGTGAGGCTGGCATATGTAGAGCTGTCTTGGCTTATCAAGGGCTCCTCCTGGCACATGTAGCTCAGATGGAATGAAGGGCCTGGGAAGACTCACCCATCCTACCCAACCCACCACCCACTTCCACCAGTTTACACAAGAATAAGTGAAACAGGGCTTCCCTGGTGGCGCAGTGGTTGGGAGTCCGCCTGCCGATGCAGGGGACGCGGGTTTGTGCCTCGGTCCGGGAAGATCCCACATGCCGCGGAGCGGCTGGGCCCATGAGCCATGGCCGCTGAGCCTGCACGTCCAGAGCCTGTGCTCCGCAACGGGAGAGGCCACAACAGTGAGAGGCCCGCGTACCGCAAAAAAAAACAAAAAAGAATAAGTGAAACAGCCAAAAACCAACTCTGAAATATATCTCTAAAGACCATGAAGCCCTGAGTAAGAAACTGAGACATTTATGGGAACCTTTGGAATTTTGGAATTCTGTTCTTACACCCTGCTAATCGCTGTCACTGAGAAGTAGCAGGACCAGTTTTTGCCGGTCATTATCACCTGCCCTTGACATGATGGACTCACCTGCTGCTTCTCCAGATCATGCCCCGTCGATCCTGTAGCCATGGCCACATACAGCCTCTGGGTTCTCCCCTGACAGCCTGACCCACCTAAATCCAGGAAAATGTTTGAATCAGTGAGGGATAACAAATAGCAGGTGACACTTGAAGACAAACCCTTGTATCCTACACTATTTCTCTCTTTGCTAAGAAGTATATTTGCAATCTGATCAGTAGAGTATATGTAGCACTCTCTTTTATAATATTTTTGTAGAAATCAATACAGTGTAACCAAATTGGTGTCAATAGGTTAGATTCCTTATTTATCATTATTGAGACTTTTCATTTCTTCATTGAAAAACTATTGGTTTACATCATGCCATTTGACTTCTGGCTCAAGTGCTTTCAAAGAAGCTGATTTCTAAAAATGCATCCTTGAAAGCCTGACAGTCTAACAGTTGAAAAATCTAAGTCAGGACAGAATGGCAGACTAAAGATGGGTAAGATGCGAAAGTAAGAGGATAACTAAGGGCAATATTAAGTATACAAATATATGTTTATCAACAAAAACCAGAAGACCAAATGGAGCAGCTAGTAATAAAAAATAGGCAAGCACATTTTGACTTAAATTTTAAAAAGTACCCAGTATCCCAATACCTTTCCTATTGAAAGAAAAAAATGTAGCCATTATTCAAAGGGAAATGTGTGTGTGTGTGTGTGTGTGTGTGTGTGAGTGTGTGTGTGGTACATTAAGACGAGTTCCACTTCAATTTCTGAGCCTCGTTAAGTCATCATCCTCATCTTTCCATTTGTGCAAGGTTTCAGAGTCTACAATGCACTTTCACAAATACTACGTATTCATCCAACCAACATTTATTGAGTTCCTCCTCTCTTTCAGTCTGCTGGACACAGGAAGTAAAAACATAAAAAGTTAATACTTACCTTTGAGAAGTCCATAGAAGCAATCTCCTATCCTAAACAAATTTAAGGAAGGGAAAGTCTTTGCAAAGATCAGAATGGGACAATGATTTTTTAACATGCAGTTTTCCCCTTAGAATTCCAAAATCCTAGTAATGACAAAGGGGAAAAAATGATCACCAATTTCCCCATATTTTGAGAAAGCCATTTCACTACTTCTCACTCATTGGACTCCGTTACTAATCATTTGAGAGTTTCATAGAGTGTAAGCGGGCATGCCTCCTAAGCCTAAAAGCCTAAAAGTTTTAAGGGATGCCCTTAGACCTATAGACCTCTTCTCTATTTGCCATGTCCTGGACTAAAAGGCGGTAATATCCTTTCTCCTTAATTGTAATAGGTTAGGCATTAGGTTTACGAATAAACCTTGAGTATATCAATTTAAAAAGCAATTAAGGATCACCTGTGATGTGTCATGCACTGTGATAGGAATTACAAGAGAAAAGTAAAAGCATGTCCCTGACCACAGGGAGCTCAGGAGGGGAGAAATACATATAAAAAATATATTTAAAAATACATATATGTTTACATATATATAAGTAAATATAAAGCAAATGCTCCACAATCAAGGTAAAGGTAGTACCTGAGGGTAGACTTTTTCACCTAGCTAATCTTTTCAACTCTCTCACTAACGTCCTCGACATTTTATGCTGGCGGGAGGAGCATCTGAAACAGATAGCTGTCATGTTTTAGGCACTATGTTCTGCTGTTATTTAAATTCTTCAAAATGTTAGAATGGGTTATGAAAATATGTCCTCTGAGCCCTTTAGAAAACAAGCCAGACTAATTTCACTTAGAAAAGAAATCACACCAGATTAATAGTCTTATTTTGATGAGAATATTGAATTAGCTACTAGATAGATCTAGTGAATCTTGACTTGAACAAGAATTCTGAGAGGGTCTCAAGAGTTCCTGCTGGTCATGTTGAAAAATAATTTGTACCAAATGATACCACAATAAGATGAATTCATAATGATTAAACTACAGTGCCCAAATGGTGCTGGTCAGCCTTGTGGAGAGTCTCTAAAGACATTCCTTAGGCCTGTGCCCTCAGCCCTGTTTTAGCAACATGTTACACAACAATTTGCACAAAGATGTAAAAAGTATGCTGTACTGAAACTCCAATGAATTTTAAAATCTCAGAATACGGCAAAAAACTGGCACTGAGCCTGGTCCATGAAAAATATATTTTTGAAAGTTTCTATAATGAATGAATGAATAAACAAATGGATTGCATAGATTTGAAAGAGGAACTAACATTTAATAAATCATGTAATGAGATAAATGTAAGGTCCTACACCAGGGTCTAAAACTACCAAAGTACAACAGAGAAGGAGAGAGTTCTCTGAGCAGTTTGATTGGAGTAGCCACCTCCTCCCCCCACAAAAAAGATAAAACATAAACAAAAACATTTAATACTCTAATTGGTCGTATCAATAGAAGTATAGAACCTAGAATGAAGGAGGTGATAGTCTACTTTGTACTATCAGCCCATACGGAGCATTTTGTTCAATTATGAATGCTACACACTGAAATAACTTAAGGGAAATTGAATGGTGGGTAGGCTAAATATCATGTCATATGAGAAATAATTTATTATACTATGTGGGATTATCACCATAGTCATAAAAAGAACTAAGTGACAAGTGCTTTACATGCATTTTCTCATTAGGTCCTCACAACATTTTGCCTGCGAAGCAAGTACTATTATTATCCCATTTAACAAATAAGAAAATAAAGGCTGAGAGAGGCCAGGCAATTTGCCCAAAGTCAGAGAGGTGATAGACAGAGGCAGCTTTGAATCTCAGCAAGGCTTCTCTGATTCTAGAGCTTACACACTTAAGAAAAGGAGACAAATATTGGAAAGACTATGATGTGGACACAGAATTGGAGCCTATTCATACTGGCTTCAATAAAGAGCACTGGAACCAAAGAATGGAAGCTACTGGGAAAACCGGCTCATTATATGAAAAAATTTATAATAGTTCTTTTAGGTGTCTCACACAGATCCCCTCCCATGCTTTTCCACACCATTTCAGATCAAATTGACCATTTCCTTGAATGAGGGCAATTATATTAATTGCAAACAGTTTTCTGTTTTCTGTCTATAAGAACTCACAGTTCAGATTTTTAAGGTGGTAGTTACTGTTGGTCACATTTCTATGTCTATCTATATTTCTGTTCCTATTAACTACTGCACAGATCTGAGCAATGTGAGGATCAAAGATGTGTAGTTTTGACTTTATAAAATATGCTAGCTATAGCTGCCCTTGAAAGCCAGGAATTGTGCCTTCCCTCGGTGCCACCTTGAAGCCACCATGGGAGATGTACAAGTCACCCTAGGTTTCAAAAAGAAGCAATCCATTTCCAAGTTGCAATCTACTTGAAATAATCTCCCCAATTACATGGAAGTAATTTACTCTATATTTACTTTCTGCTTTGGACTATCAAATATCTCTTCCTCTCACCCGCAGGGGCAGCAGCTGGGATTAAAACTTCCACTACCCTCCGGGCTGGGGCTTTATTATTTAACTCTTTCGTGCCCAGGAGTGGACAAGGTTTGCACCAGATGATGACTAAACTTCCCTTTAGCCTAAGACATATTATTGCAATATTAACCTTATTTATTTTAGATCCAACCTATTTCCAAAGCTGTTTATTGTTTTTAGTACAAATTCTTTCTCCAACACTGAGGCAGACCAACATAAAGCTAAGCAGTAGGAAAGTAAAACATTTAATCAGCTAAAAAATCCACCCATGCAATACCAAAGAGACAAATGTATGTATTGTTTGCTACAAGGTCAGGAAGAGCTCCAGGGGTGCTAAGCCCAGTGGCACCTCTCAGCGGGGTAAAGTTTCACTTTCCACCCTACCAGTTGAGGTCGCCAGAGCTCAGAAAAGGGAGCATTTTTATTTCTAATTCTCTGTCCTGGGTGTAGCCCTCCAAATCTCTGGGCTTCCTCCTGTTCTGTCTCCTATGGAGAGGAAGAAAAAGCCTTTTCAAATCAATCTTGGCCTCTCAAAACCCAGAACCGTGGGTGAGCATGACTCTTTGTTTTTAATAGTAGGCTTTATTTCTTAGAGCTATTTTAGGTTTACAGAAAAACTGAGCAGAAAGTACAGACGGTTCCCATATACCCCTCCCCTCCCCCACCCCCATCTCCACAGTTTCCCCCATTATGACACCTGGTCTTGAGCATGACTTTCAATAGAGTGGTCCAGGTTTGCAGTTCTGAAGTTTCCTGACCTTAAGGTGGCTAAGAACGTGGTCAGACCCATCCCTGTTCCAAATAGAACTCACTCACTCTGGAGGCTTCCATCAGCTGCTGGGACCAGCCATCCCATCCTGAGCTGAGCTCTTCAACAAAATGAACCTGGCCCAGAGGCAGCCGCCACTAAAATCAAGCCAGACAGGAAGCAGGAGGCAGCAATGGGCTCTGGGAAGAGCCTGAGGACAGCAAGTTTCAACAGAGTATTTTGAAGAGATCGTTGGCAACATTATCTTATTAAATTACAGAGGGATCATCCTTACTTGCGTAAACTCTTCATGAAAAACAATTAGGCAGCCATCATGGTGCTATTATCAGTGAGAGTTGCCCCCGCAAATCTCTTTGGCCAGGGCTGCTGTGCTAGGATGAACTTCTCCCTGTGCCTGGCCCTCTTTCTGCACTAGCTTTTAATTGCTAACGAATTAAACTTTCCAAGGAGATAAGAATAATGTTGTTTTGTTTGCACACAGGCTGCATGACTAACAAAGACAATATAAATAAACCCATTCCAAGCTTTATCTGCTTTATCTGCGGGTGGACACACAGTGCCTGTGTTCTAGTGAAGCCTGGGATGGCTTCCACACAAGATTAAGCGGTTATTGTGGAAGCCAAGGCTTGCACACTGTTAAAAGCCCGAGCTAATACGTTCACTTAAGACGTTATGCCTAATTATGCTATCTGGCAGTACGGAAACCTGTTCCCCAAACCTTAAACCATCCTGATGGTTTGGGTGTGGGTCTGAGCCCTGTAAATATGCCAGGACAACTCTGTAGGATTTGGAGCCAACTATGCTCCATGATGGCTATGAAAATGGGCAAAATCTAGTCCTTGTACATTCTATCCCCCCAGGATGGTATGCATTTCTTCTTGGTTCTGTAGCTATCGTAACAAAAAAGTGTGAGGGGAACTGTTTGTGCTTTTATTTTTGGAAACTTAACTTCAATCTCTGCAGGCATCTCCTATGAAATACAGAGCTCTCTGTCCACCAAGTTGTTTGGGAGAGCTGGTGGGGATGGAGTTCTTTATTTATGGGTTTGTTTCAAGTTCAAAGAAGGGCTGCCCTGCGGGATGTAAAGTACAGCATGCTGACTATACGTAATAATACTCTACTGAATATTTGAAAGTTGCTTTCAAATAGAGTAGATCTTAAAACTTATCAGAAGAAAAAAAAATGTTTATAACCAAGTATGGTGACAGACATTAACTACACTTATTGTGGTGGTCATTTCACAGTATATACAAATGTCAAATCATTATGTTGTTTACCTGAAACTAAAATAACATTATATGTCAATTATCCCTCAAAAAAGAAAGAAAAGGAATGCCTTCATGGCTAGGAGAAAAAACTGATGTCTCAAGTTCTGAGTCATGGTTTGTGCTTAGCTCCTGATGTCAGTAGAGTAAAGTGTCATGTGGTTTGTATTCCTTGCCTGTAATCAGGTATGGTGCGGTGTGATACTAACCCTAACCACTGTTTTGGCTGTGTGTTGAATGCACAGAATCCTCTGGTGATGTACGAACATCGTGTGTGTGTGTGTGTGTGTGTGTGTGTGTGTGTGTACCTTCCTCTGACCCAACCCCACTGATGTAGGGGAAGCAGGTGCAGGGTGCAGTCAACCAGGGTAGGAATCTGATGCACTGAGAGCCAGTCAGAATGTCTGCGGATCACTAACCATCAGTTCAAGAGGCTTCAAAAATGAATTTAATTCGATTACTCAGAGATTGAAATCACACATCAAGGCCTTAGGAGATCTCATGGTGAACTAAATCAAGTGGATCGTTTCATTCCTCAAATCATGCCTGAGGCTCCCAGGCAGAAACCATCATCTCCGGGAGCTTATGAGGCAATCATTCCCCGCCCCCCCAGACATATCTGGACCGTGCCTCCAACAGGTAGAAGCTTGAACCTATGCAGTTATCCTCATCCATACTCCCAGCCTCTTTTCATAGATATTTCCAAATACCTAAAATGACCCTAAGCTCAACAGAGTTGTTTGTTTATTTTTAAAATCTGCAACTTGTCTAAAAGTAGCCCATCATTCCCTAAAACAAGATCCTTTCCCTGCGTCCCACATTCCTCCCTGTAGGATTCTTGCCTTCCCTTCTCTCTTACACCAGACTTCTAACCAAAGCCCGTTGTTGATCACTGCTCTCTGACTTCTAATTCTTCCTTTTCCACGTTCTCAATTTTACTGCTCCAGGCTCTGATTACCTCAGTTTTCCTTGTTTCTCACCATTCTAATCCATTTGTAAATACTGTGTTTATCTTGTTAACTTACTTAAGCAAGAGGTACGCGGGCCTCTCACTGTTGTGGCCTCTCCCGTTGCTGAACACAGGCTCCGGATGCGCAGGCCCAGCCGCCATGGCTCACGGGTCCAGCCACTCCGCGGCATGTGGGATCTTCCCGGACCGGGGCACGAACCCGTGTCCCCTGCATCGGCAGGCGGACTCTCAACCACTGCTCCACCAGGGAAGCCCAGCAAGACCTTTCTTACGGTCATTTCTGGTTCAACCTTTTTCTTGCCTCTGTGTCAGTCTGGCTTCAGTCTTTACCCCTTATTATTCAACCTTTCACCAGCAACCATTGTTCCATCCATCCATCCATTTCACAAGGATTTATTGAACACCTATGGGGATCATGCACTGCTTGAGCCATTGGGAACAAGAAGGTGAATAGGATCAGTCCCTATTCTCAAGGAGCTCACTTGGAAAGGTGGACATGTATGCAGTGCATGCACTTAATTGCCTCAGTGTGGTACAAGCAATAAAGAGGAGCCCAGGATACTCTGGAGGTCCAGACAGGGAAGGGAAGGCAATCAGACGGCCCTCCCCTCCTCCCCCTCCAGGCTCATGTCCCCTCTGCAACACTAACACCAGGCCTTGGCTCACATCGCCCACACCTCGTACCTGAAGTGCCCTTTCTATCCAAATCTTGGCTACATTACAAGATTATAGTCCCTCGGATTCCAGTAACCATCACCAGACCATACTTACCTCCACCTTGGTGAACTTTTAGACTTGCCATTCATAGGACCCAATTTAGGAATTGTTTTATTTGTGTTGCTTTGCCTTCTCAACTCAAGTTTGACCTCTAATTGGAGGGTCTATAATTGTGTCTCCACGCATCTGTTGTATTCTTCACAGGGTGCTGCCAAGAACACAGTAAACACTCAATTAAAAAGACATCTGATGGATTATTGATACTTAGATTTTCCTAACCATTCCCCCCTGCTTTCATAACAGGAGTAACATCACATCTACACATAGTAGGCACTTAATAAAAGGAAGACAGTGTGAGATATAGTAAAGAACAAGGGCTATGAAGTCAAACAGATCCAAGTTCAAATCCCAATTCAACTACACTGTCTGTTTGATCTTGAGCTAGTTTCAATTTTCTGAGCCTCAGGTTCCTAAATTGCAAAATGAGGACTAATAATACACACTTTGTTTCTATTTCAGGGATGATTAAATGAGTCTGTGTAAGTAAAATGCCTGGCACAGTGCTTGGCACATAGTTAGCAACCAAAACATGTTAGATCCTGTCCTTCCCACTATTCTCCCTCCTCTCTCTGTCCCCACTCTTTCACACCAGGCAAAATTTAGCAAAAACCAACAGAGACGTTTAAAACTTCTCCTCCTGTGTGCTTTTGGTTGCAGAACAGAGCTATAAACTTTTCTCAAGCACCCACCTAACCCCTGGTGAGTACCTACATTGTGTTCGTCACACCCAGCTTGTCACAGGGAAAATGTTGGTTTATGTATTTTTTTTTTACTGTTGTTATGTGGACATAAATGTAATAAGAATTCTGTGATCTTTGAGTCCTACAGCTCTCAAAAACATGTGATGCTCTACATTTTTGACTGCCCTTCATTTGGTCCACTGGAATGTGAGATCCAGGGAAATCCCTGTACATTCTTCTGCCCACAGAAAGGGTTAAACATTCCCACTACAAAAGGACTTAGTGCTCTAACTGTAAATGTCATGGGAACATGGCCTGGAAAAGCTGAAGGCCATTGCGTTATACAATTACCTATTTACTGGAGACAGTATATTTAATAACTAATCATCTAATCTAATAATACTGAAGAATATCAGACTGAAAGGTCAAGTGTTTAAGATTAGGAAGAAAGCAGCCTTAAAAGTACATTTAAAAGAGCCTCACAGATCAACAAGTCAGCCTTAGATTCTGCCGTGCTACTGCTGCTTCCAGGCCTTTAGGGAACTCAGAAATGTCACTATCTTTCAAACTCAGAATATATATTACAGCCTCTGCTCACAGGGGTTTTATTGCATGAGGTCTCTTAGTTAGCAGTTGAAGATGATTGTTTCATCTTGTGTAATGGCATATTAGCTCTATGAAGAAAAATGTTATACTAGGAGGTTTTCAGTGTACTCTTAATGAGAGCTTTTGCCCCAAGTGTTATTTTTCCCTTGGGACTTCCTTGTGACAAGTTCTGTTTGCTTCCATTTATGGTTCCCTCTTCTGGACATCTTTCTCAGAGACCTAAGTGGTCATCATTCCCAGAGATTTTCATGGTACAAACTCTTCATTTTGTAAGATCTTAAAAGCCTCATATGGAAAAATCACCCTTTATTCCTCACATTTACGAGCTTGAATAGACCTCTTCCCCATTCTTTAATAAAGGAAAAGTCTTGTCACCTTTCAGATTCCATAGATGAATCTCTTGAAGAACCACCATCTGGTTCTGATGATGCAAACTTGGCCAGCAAGACATTTATTTTATTTATTTTTTTGTGTGTGTGGTACGCGGGCCTCTCACTGTTGTGGTCTTTCCCGTTGCAGAGCACAGGCTCCGGACGCGCAGGCTCAGCGACCATGGCTCACGGGTGCAGCCGCTCCACGGCATGTGGGATCCTCCCGGACCGGGGCACGAACCCGTGTCCCCTGCCTCGGCAGGCAGACTCTCAACCACTGCGCCACCAGGGAAGCCCTATTTTTATTCTAGATATTTGAGTCCTTTTCGTTGATGTTTTCATAAGTTGCTCTCACTTCAGTCCCCTGATGTCTTCAAATCTTTGTACTTTGCTTACAATTTCTAAGAGTAGAACATCTTTGGAGAAAGATCTAGATATCCACTCTTCTTCTGGGAAAAAAACAAAAATATAAAAACCCTGTAACTGTCAGGATAGAATGGGTTATGCAGAGGTAGCAAATTAGCCCTGAAATCCCAGTGAGTTATCAAGACAAAGGTTTATTTATTTTTTTGTTCCAGTTCATATTCATCACAAGTTAGTGAGAAGCTCTGCTCGTACAGTTACTCACGGACCAGGTTGAAGGATGTTAAAACAGCTGGTCGCGTCTCCACAGCAGAAGGAAGAAGAGACAAGGGGTATCTCATCAGCACCCTTCTATGCCTTGACTCAGAACTGACATCATCCCACTTCAGTTTACAATCCATTAGCTAGAACTTGTCACAGGTTCCCCTAAGTTCCAGGATATGTGATCTTCCTGTGTGCAAAAATAAGAGGAGAACCAGATATTGGTGAAACCAGAAATGTCTAACACAAGCACACACACACACACACACACACACATCACCACTGTCTACACTGAGAGTATATGCCTCAAGAAGAGTGAAGCCAACAAAACAGACTGAACACAAAGAAATCTCTAAGCCTGGATACCCAGTGAATCCAGAATAACTGAAACAGAATTAAAATACTTACTGTGTGCTTTTGTCAAGATGAATCCAAATTCCTGTTCCGCTTTTAGTTCCTTGATTTTTTTCAATACTTTGTTGTAAGATTTTTTTTTTGTCAAAGTTTTACATTGTAGGTAATAAAACAATTTCCAAGGAGAAAGATTGATGCTCACTAGTTTAAAAGTGTGAGGTCGATTACCACTTGGTTCATATCAAATTCCCTAGCAAATCCCAAGTTCCTGAGTGGGAGTTCGGGCTCTTTATTTATTTCTATCAGTTCCTATGGCTTGCTTCTCTTTGTTCAAAAGACAAATTCATACCCAAAATAGCGCCTGGCACAGTGCCCGACATACAGTGGATGCTTAGTATATGTAACAATGCTTAGGAATAACAAATGAATGAGTGTGAAATTAGAAACCTCTATACCAAGAGTATTTATACAAATTTCTAGACTTATACTCAATGTCACCACAATAAAATTCATAATCAGTGTGTCTTACCTATTGTATATGATAAGTAATGTCAAGGGCAGTACTGATTGCAGTAAAAGGATAATTAGAAAAAGGACAGAGACTTTTCTGTTTTCCTCCAATTTTGAATCTGTCCTCCCCCATTCTCTTCCCCATTTGCACAGATTCTTAGGATATAGTTTTCATTTATCAAGGAGGCAATATCACTTCAGCCTCACACCAGGGGAAGCAATTGTGCTGTCTTCAGTGTCCACCTGAAGGGGAGAAGCCACCAATCTTTCTTGGAAATAAGGTGCTGTGGAAAATAATTGTGTAATTCTTCTCTCAGTAGAAGACAATGCTAGCCAGGATTATGCAACAGGATTCCTTTCTATTGGAAGAGCCTGACTTATAACTCAACCACTTTCTGCTACTTATATAAGAACAAAGTCATGTCAAAAGAAGCCAGTATGAGGTTGCCTGTTCTTCATTTCAATTGGACTTTTCCTTGGGCATAAAAATAAATAATACATAGCATGCAGTGAGTTTTGCTTCATGTCAGGCAGTGTGCTAATGTTACCAAACCAAACTTGGGTCCACTCACATGCCACACAGCTAAGCCAATCTACTGACACTGCGCTGTGGTGAAGGAAAGTACAGCATTTATTTGCAAGGCACGAAGCAAGGAGAACAGGCAGCTCATGCTCAAAAGACCCAAACTCCCCAATGGCTTTCAGGGAAGGATTTTTAAAGGCAGATTTGGGGGTGAGGGTTGGAAGGTGCATGACTTTCTTCTGGTCATTTGGTGGTGAGGTGACAGGGTGTTTTGGGTGTTAACGGGAAGCTTAATCATCAACTTCCTGGTTCCAGCCAGTCTAGGGTCTACATGCTTGTGCTCAGCATGTAGTCACCATCTTCCACCTGGGTGGGGGTTTCGATTCTGCAGAAAGATATGCATCAGATCGTTATGATGCGGAAAGATATGCAGCAGATTGTTATGTATATCCCTTGAGGAGGAAGTAGGACTCTATTTTATTGCTGAACTATTGTTCAACCCAACTTGTTTAACTGCTTTTCCTTTGTTTCGGCATTCTCTCACTTCCCTAATTAGTACCTGCTTGAGTGTTCTCTTTGGAACTCAGGGAAAGCCTAGGAGACTAAGCCTTTTCAACAAACAAGGAATGGGGGATAAGGAAGGGCTTTTGAATCCGGGAGGGCCCTGAAGTTTCCTGCTTGGTTTCAGTCCCCTCTTTTCTTTGATACTCCTCAACCCTGAGGGAAACAGAGGAGGGACAGGAAAGGGGATAAAGTTTTGGATAGAGAGGATAATCATAAACTCGACAGGGAAACTTGTTTTTAGGGGGACTCGGCTTCACTAAGCATGTTACATTTATTATGCTTTTCCAAAGTGTGGTCATGTACCCCACAAGTTGTGCAGGACAAGAAGAAAATATTAAAATATTTATTTCTGTTTATTTTGTAATTTCATTATTTAATTTCCATTTTGTGTATTTTATAATTAACATAATATATAGTACAACGGTACCTGTATAAAAAAAAGAAATATATACTCACACATATATATGTTGAAAATACATGGATGGCCATTTGTTCTGTTTTTTTGTTTGTTTGTTTTTAACTGACGAGATAGGATGATGGTGATGATGATTCTATTTACAGAAGAGGAAACCGAGGCTGAAAGACATCAAAATGACTTGTCCAAAATGTCAAAGATGGTAAATGGCAGAGCTGGAACCAGTGTCTGATTCTAAAGTCTATGTAGTCTGGCATGATCATTAAAGGAATTCCTGGTGTTCAAACACTGGTGCTTGAAAACCAGTCTCATTTGTGCCTGCAGAAATGCCAACCCCTGGGATAGAAGAAACTCCATACTTTGATCATCTTCCACAGTGAAGCAGAAGGAAAAGACGAAAAGAAATTGAAGGAACCAAAGCCAGACAGACGCTAGGTAGTAAATGCAAAAGAATTCAAAGAAAGTAGAAATCAAAGGGAAATGTCACAACATTTGGTCCGACACCCTATTCCTCACCCATCCCCTTCATGTCCTTCTACGGAAATCAGATTCCTGGCATGGGCGATCCATTGTTTGAACATGCGTTAATGGACACATCCAGATTCCTAGCACCAGGGAGTTGAGAGGCAATCAACATGAACTGAGACACTTAGAGCTTCATCTTCTACTGATTGAGCGCTGAGGGGTGTGTATCCCTATGTGGTCCCTAAGAGCTACACCCAGGAGAGAAACATTTACGTTGTTCAAAATAGTTGGAGCTGTGTCAGTTTTTGTGGTTGTTATCTTCAATTTTCTTAACTAGTAATGAGGGATGCTCGTAAACGTTAAGCCGAAAAGCACTAGACTCTCTGTAGGGCATTCATTATAGAAGACTTTGAAGCTTAGGAGGAAGTTCGGAGCTTAAAGGAAAAAAAAAAATTAAACAACTCTATATTGTACACATTAAAAAAATAAGTGCAATGGAGTTCTTTATAGGTAACCAAGTTTCTCAGGCAGTGATAAAGATTTAATTTTTTTAAATCACTGTCAAACCCCTTTGCACATTATTTGCATAAGTTCTCAAACAATGGGACTGTTTTCATGTAAATTTCTTTTCAGGGAGACTCCTGCTTTTTCTGAAAGCAGTGTAACTGTAGCTGAGTTATATAAAGCAACATTTTATTGCCTCCTGCGGAAGATGCTTTGTACTAATGATCTGGAAACTGGTGTTTCGTGCTTGGTATTAGTCGATCGGTGGTTCAAAATGTGAAGAGAAAGAGGGGCCTTTATTTTTTAGTTAATTAGTTCTGACTAAGATGGTGGTGGGAGCGCTTCCCAGAACTTCCTGGATCCCTGGAATCCAGAAACCCACTACAAAACCTAAATGAAGCCGTTGACCCCATCAGAGGAAAAGAAAAAGAAAAGTGATTCACTAATACATGCCTGATTTCAATGAGAAATCTTTCTGTGTTTCAGAAATCTGACTCTTTTCTCTAACTGCCCTTGTCACCTTGCTGGCTGAGAAAAGGGAGACCAAAAAGCAACATGAATATGTAAAAAGGTGAGTTTTGTTGGAACTACAGAAATAGAACTGAATGCCCCATAAGGAACAAAGTTGTCCCTTCTCTGAGACTTTACGATGAAAACAAAAATAGAAACAAAACAAAACAAAAAAAACCAACTTGCTCGTTCTGGGGTTTGGGGCTCTGATATTTCTATCTGAAAATTATAGTAAATCAATTAAGCAAGCTTTTTCTTCACTCCCCGTCTCTTCCCTTATTTCTCAGGGACTCCTGAGTTCTCTAATTCCTGAACACTCCTAGGGCAGTTCAGCTTACAATGATAGAAGGTTCCGTGGTTGTTTTCTGAATTCCACATGAACTCCTCTCTACATTTGCAGAGAACATGGCTCCTCGATGGCGTTGAGTTTCCAAGAGAAAATGCTCATCCCAGTTTAGATCACCCACAGGCCTCAACACACACCGCACAAAAAGGTCGGTCCTGATGGCAAAGTTCAGGATAGAACTGTGTCAACTAATTTAATCATTGACCATGAAATACCAGTTATCTTAATCTTATGTGCAGTCCTAAGTCGACTGCATATTTTTGTGTAATTGAACACTGACCCTACCAGGAAGAA